GCCTTTTCTGCTGGACTTTTCTAATTTTGACGTACGTTGGAAAGTGACTCATTATTGACCTCATATTACTACTACTATCCTTGTTTCCTTGTCCTACTTAAAATTATATGTATATAAATCTCGGTGAAGTCTATTATTTTTAAATTTTAAATTTTTTTGATGAAAGAAATTCGAAAATGTAAAATCGGGCATAAAACTTATCTACTTGTTATTTATATTCAGTAGTGTTTGCCTACTAATGAAATTCCATTGATAAAGTTCGAATGTGTGGCGTTTGATGTAATAGTGCCCCTGTTATCTGCAGTGCTTTGAATAATTTTTATCAAGAGTAGGAAGTTTCAATGAGGCCTGTTATGTATACACACCGCCATTGTCTTATCTCAGGAGAGTTTTACTTATAAATAGCTTAAAGACGTTATAAGAGCAGTTATTCATGTAAACAAGACTCTGAGCTACGACGGTTATATTATTTTCTCCATGTTTGAGTATGTACTAAGAGCTTTAATAATACAGTCAGGTACAAGGTAAATTTATTCAGAATGGAATTACCTTGTTATGAGATATGGTAACAACGTTGGCAGATTTTTCTCAAATTTATGATGAATAATCATCTCGAGAGTGAGATCTATAAAAGGGAACTTCTTGCAATGTTAATATGTATAAGGAATAAAATTAAAATAAATTAGAGTTTAATTGTGTTGCTACAAAGCCCGAAATGGGATGAGGGTTCATTAAAATGCATGATGACAAATTTTGGGGACCACTACCTGAGAAAGTGTGATATTTTTTTTATTTTTATGATCAATGATCGACGTTCAAAGAAATGAGTAGTAAATAATTCAATTTTGATCAGTATAAAATGATAAATAATCAGTATTTAATTAATTTTTGCACAGTAAAAAATTTAAAATGATCAGTAAAAATACAGTATGCCCCCGGATTGAGTTTACAAGAGGAATTTTTTTTATCTTTGATTTTAGGCCAAAACTGCAAAGGAAAAATTTTTTTTGCTTCACCTGAAACGAGCAAATCTGTACTTAAAACTTCATTATTCTGATTTAGTGAAAAGAAAAGTTAATTTTTCTCTTGATTTTGGACTTTAAGTCTTATCACAATGGCGGTTTTAATTATTTGACAACTATTTGTCACTTTGAGAAATAATTTATTAATTAAATAATGATAGTTCTTGTTAAAACAAATCAAGAGAAAAATGAACTTTTCTTTCTACTGAGTACTTTTTTTCCTTTGCAGTTTTTTTTCCTCTTGTAAACCCAATCCGGGGACATACTGTATAATATATTGCACAGTAAAAATAATAAACGCTCAGTAACTTTAATCAAAATTAGTAAAACAACATAAAATTTAAAGAATTTTCAGTCTTGGTTATATAACAATGTATGGCCCCTGCGCAAGAATGGTGTTTATTATTGTACTTATTTTTATATTACTGAATATTTATTATTATTGGAGGGTGGTATATGTATTAGCAAGAGCCCCTGCACAAGAATGATTTTAGCAAGGCCTGGAAACTGCGCACAAATGGTAATCAATTTTGTTTTTGAACACTGCGATATTCCGATTTTGCTCGGAAACATTTTGTTTGTAAATGTGTTAATATTAAATTAATTAGTGCATTTATTATTTTTTTGTGCATTTAAAGAAATCAAAGGGATGTTTGCGGATTCGTTGACGTCCGTTACACAGAAGCTCGGCTATTGGTTATTGACTTTCTATTACGTTTGCGTCACAATTGATTCTATTGATTGAGTCATCCCTTTTTGATGACACCCCTTTTTATGATAAATGATAACCGATCATAAAATCTCGTTTAATGAATATTTAACCTGCATAAACACGTTGATGAGGCTTCTTTACTATTCCTCGAAATTGAAATCATTCAAATAAATTACAATTGAGAGCCCCTATCCTGCATGGTTAAGTGAATGATAACTAGCGTGAGGGACGTCAACTGCAATATTTGATGACTTTTTGAATTAGGGCAGAAAAGTGACGTCATTTTGGGTGTGTTTCGGGATATGTGGAGGTTTCTCAAATCAATAAATGCATTCGTTGACTTGCAGTATTTTTAGATTTTGTTGACTAGACGAACTGTGTCAAGTCTTATTTCTCTTATTATTGATTTTTCTTACTTCAATATGTTTGTTTTGTGATAGGAAAGTGTTGCAACACTTCTTGTGGTGAAGTATTTTTCGTCTTGGGGGAAAATTGACTTTTAATATTAATGTCACTTGCGAGATAATTAAACCATTGTATTAAATTTTATCAGTAATGAAACTTGACATATTGATTAGTGGGTGGGAACTGCTTTGTCGCTTCTCTGACAGTATGTGCGCTTGGGTGATTTTTTTTTCTTAAAATTAATGTGTGGGCGGGAAAATGTCACCTGATTTGGTAACCCGTCCATTATGTCGGTTCGCATAATTAAAATCAAAATTGTAAATGAGAAAACAAAGGAATATAATGAAGGCGGCAGATTTATATTAATAGACAAGTTGCTAAGAATTTCTTTCGAGAGTGGAATGTATGTTAAAAATAAGATCAGAAATTAAAAAAAAATGTCGTCGGCAAATAATAGTAAGAAATGTCATTGAAACATTTGGATTTGTTGTATTGGTAGTTTTGAAATTAAAGAATTTTTTGTCAATAATTTTTGGAAAACTAAGTACATAATGCAAATTACCAAAACATGAATTAACATCTTTATTAATTCATGAATTATTTATACCGGGTGTCCCAGTAAGTTTAAAAAAGTCTTTAAAAGACCTTTAAATGGTTAAATTAAAAAAAAAAATATAGGACATTGATGGATACTACAGCATACAGRGTGTCTCAAAAATGAGTTACAATACAAACTTGTGTTTTTTTAAATGAAACACCAGCGTTTTTAGATGTAGATTTTTATGACAATGTTTTTTTGGTCAATTTTGTTTAGTTTTACTCGTAAAAATAAGACGGTTCTTTGAGGAAAACATGGCCTTTTAAAAAAATTATTACACAAAAAATAAGACACCTAGAAATATTCTTTATTACTACCGCAAAGAAGAAGGTATAAGCTATAAGGTTGTAACATTTTTTTAGTGTGTTGCATTTGCAAAGATAAAAAAATGAAGGCGTTTGTTAAAAGTTCAATAACTTAAATTTTTTTTAATAAAACACCCTATTTATTGTTTTTGCATTTAAAAGATTATTAAATTGTCTTTCTAAAATTATTTACTTTTAGGTGTTTATAATCAATAACTAAAAAGATATTTAACGTTAAACATTAAAAAAAAATAACTATTGTTTCAGTAGCCAAAAAATGCACAGTTGCACAAGAGGTGGAAGAAATATCACTTAATAATCACATTTGTGTTAAACTGAATCCATTATTCTTTATTTTTACAATAAAATAATTCGAATTTCAGTATTTATAACGACTTTTACAATCTCTGGATAAATGAAGGGATAAGTGATCAGTGGTGGAATTACTAAAGTTGTCATAGTATCAACAATTCTCAGAAATTGATAAMAATTGTTGCTACAATTAATATTGAATGTTAAATATTTTTTCATTTATCAATTCTAGACATTAAAAGTTTATTTTTTTAGATAGACAATTTATCAATCTATTAGATGCAAAAATAAAAAACAGTGTGTTCCATTTTAATTTTTTAAGTTATTTAACTTTTAACAAACTTCTTAATTTATTAATCATTACAAATGCAAAACACTAAAAATTGCTACAGTTTTAAATTCTGTACTTTCTTCTTTGCAGAAGTAAGAAAAAATTTGTTCTAGCTATCCTAGTTTTTGTGTAATAAATTTTCAAAAAGTGCATGTTTTCGTCAAAAAAAAAACGTCTTATTTGTAAAACTAAGCAAAATCGACTAATAAAAGTTTAGCGTAAAAACATTGTTTTAAAAGGCTACATCCAGAAACATAGTGTTTCATTTAAAAAAACACAAGTTTGTATCGTAACATATTTTTTTTAAAAAGGATCACAATTTGAATAGATCGWACCTAGAGTTTATTTGAAGTAAAAAAAAAGCTCTGACGCTAAAATGCGGTTAAAAATGCATCAAGAATGATTCCAATGTAAAAAAGTGATAAAACCCCAGTGTGGGAACGCGGTTTGTATAAACGAAACCCACAAAAGTGACATCAATCTCTCTTCTWCGCGCAATCCAAAAGTGAAATGTAACATAAACATAACCTAGAAAGTTCATCCTTTATTGCATTTTAGTTGCGTAAACTATTTTAGTGTTTATATTTTTTTCATCCAAGGAATGTACACTGTTTTTAACTTTAATGAATCGAATTGTTTGGAATAGAAAATTACGACACATTTTCAACTTTTAACCAATTTATTTATTTTACACACACCTGACAATAAAAACAAATACTGCCTTGAGGCAATTGAATAAATCTTATCACAGTAATGCATGCATTTGACACACTTAGTTTTACTTGTAAGGTCTTAAACCATTTATTTAAATAATAATTTATTTAAGTAGTTTAAAGTTCGCGTAGTGAATTTTTTTAATTTCCTCAACGCTCCAATTAAAAGCAATAAAATCGACAATTAACGGTTGACAAAATTGAAAAAATTGCAAATAAAAATAGAATTATTATTTATAGCAAAATTCGGCAAGTAACAGGAAGCTCATGACAGTGTTTAATTTTCTCGAATGGAAAGTTACGCAATAAAATWATGAACCGGCGCGTTGAAGTAAAATTATTCAAATATTTAGTTTTATCATGAATTATGAAAAATTAAGAAAAKTTATTATCCCAGCTGAAAAAACCCAAGTTTGGTTGAGTTTGTCGAACTAATAAAACCAGTATCAAATTACCCTTTAACTCGAGGGTATTAAAAACACATGTGGGAATGTCAAAGTGGCCCAAATTWTGAATATTGAATAAAAAAAGTGTGCTTAAATATTTATCAGTCTGGATTTTGATGCACTTGGAGCCAGGTAGTCGGCAGATAATGCACTTACCGGTATATAGAAGTATAAAAATAAATGCCACTGTTTTAAGTTCCATTTTCTTCTCGATTGATTAGTAGTGATAAAAGGTTGGTTTTCGTCGAATAACACCACTTTGTTCCGAGTTTGAATTTTTATTTCATTCCACTTCACCGGAGCACAAACACAGCGCGCCCGAAGTCCGCAACATTCGCGGGACAAAAGCCGAATGTATTTTTAAAAGATACGCTTGCGCATGGACAAGACGCGTTGAAACCTTCGGTGGGTATGCCTCGCAAAGCAACTCTGTTTTCGAGTCAAGATCGAGAATGGAATGAGCTTTCCGTTTCTTGGCTTTTTTTATTTATGCAAACTTGTTATCGCTTTTTCTTCTTCGTGGTGAGTGTGTTCCCGCCAAGTCAGGACACGCACTCTCTACTCAGCACGAATTTCATAATCTAAATTTAACAATGACTTGTTTACAAGTTCGTGTCTGCTGCTGAACTTACTGTTTTGGCATAATCGATTCAACACCGAGAAATTGGAATTTGAAACTTTGTATTTTTTTGGAATACTTTGGATTTTTTAGTTTTTTTTTTAATATACAGGTGGTTTATAACTCGCGATCTAGTTTAAAAAATTCTGTTTGTCAATAATAAACTTATTTTTTTTTCAGAACTGCATAGATGTGTCAAATTTTACGACTCTTTTTTTCAAGAAAAAAAACCATCAACTTTTCTTATTTTGCAAAAATCTCACAAATTTTACACAGTAGACCCCATAAACCCTATATAGACCAAAAGCTCATAAAAAAATACAACCAATGATGCAATAAGATATAGTGTTGTGTTTGAAAAAATCAAGTTATTGACATTTGTATTTTGTCATTGTCAAAAAATCGTAGTAGGCGACGGAACATCGATTCCGAGTTTGCCTTTATTTCAGAAAATGCGCTAAGCTTAAGACTGGAAGAAAGTTATTTAAGTTATCTTGAATAGTTTTGAAGTTATGAATTTTTTTGGGGGTTTATGCAATTTTGACATTTTGACACATAAATTGGCATAAGTCAAAAACTATTTTAGATAAGTCTAAAAAACCTAGGTGTGTTATATTGACAATTTAGTGGCAAATCCAAAAATGTAAAAAAAAATTAGGGTTTTGATTAAAAAAAAACAACTTAGTAGTGTAGCTTATTTTGGAACACCTGTATATGAATAGAAATATTTTTTTAATATACCTCATTGTTGTATCTATCGTTTTTAAAAAAACCATGTCAATAACATCGATAGAAAAAAGTTATGGAGCTTGCACGCACCCCTGGATCACCCTGTATGTGGATCATTGTAAAATTCGATTTTTTTGAGTTGTGTAAAACTACAAAAAAATTTAGAAAATTTATTTAAAAAACAGTCCTCATTAGAAAACAAGCTTCCAGCGACAAATGAAACCAACTTTTAAAATTAAACCGTTATAAAATTATAAAACTGTTCTATTTAAAAGTGGAATATGAAAGTCTSCTTCAMTTAGTGAGTTTGTTGTAGTTTGAATTATCTAATTTCCACTTTTTGGAAAATCTGATTCATTTTTGTTCTTGAGAAAATATAATTTTTAATGAATTTTTCAATTCTAATTCTTGATATCCTGACTTTCGAAATAAAGGCCTAAATTAAATATTCGTCGTTGGCAAAATTCTGTTGAAACTTTTGAAAATTATTTTCAAGATCAGTTTTTGTTTACTGTGCAAGATTTTGAAATTTATATACAGAAGATCGTTTTAGCAGTTTCTGTTTCCTGCTATTAGAACTTTAAAGATTAAAAAACACAGGAAACCAATAGTTTAATTTAACCTACAAGAATAATTTTTTGTATGTTTAAAAGGTTGAAAAAAATTTGTCAAAAATCTGCTTCTTTGTGAAAAAAAATAATGTTCACATACTAATGATGTCATTTTAATTGACGAAAAACGTGTAAATCTTTAATCAAAGGCTTTCGTATTTTCCATATTTTTAGAATTTGCTCATTCGGATTACTTTGAATTTTTTAAATTTAAAATAAGAGAAGTGTGGAAAAACAAAATTAGAGTGTTTTCATCATAATTTTACTGAAGATCAAAATTTGTCGTTTCTTCTCGTAAATTTCAAATAAGGTGTCTTCATAATTTCATCAATCGTCAGTCGATTTATAACAATTTGTATGAATCTTCATGTAATCATTACAACACCTAAACACATAATAAAAATTTTCATTTCTTTTAAAATGAAAATATTCCAACAGTCGCCCAAAATCTTACATTTTTAAGTACCAGTTTTTACAGCCTATAACTGGCTAAAAATAACCATTTTATTAACATGCTTAGTAATGCAAAAGAATAAATACGTGTTACGTGAGGATTTGGGTTTACATTATATGCCTCTTATAGGGTGGGTGTGTCTAGTCAAAATAACATTACAATTTTTAATGTAGTGGATATTTTTGTTCAATGGGAACGATCTCAGTGACTAAATAATGTCCAAGTCATTTAAAAAAGAGAAATAAATCTAATTTCCCAACTATTTACCCGTATAAAAATTTTATTTTGTAATAAATTACCAAAAAAGTTCAATATTACACTAGTGTTGATAAGGAACATCATAAAATTATACTATTACTACAAGTCACGTATTGAATATTGGATTTTAATAAAAATTGTTAATATTACGAGTTAGAGGAGTGATAGAATTAATAAACAGAAACGCGTTTATCTCATGTTTATATGACCTATGGACTTGATCTCTCAATCGGTCAAGAATGCAATTTGTACAAAAATTAGAATTTTGTTGGGGGAGATATTATTTATTTTATTTTAATTGTATTCAAATATGATTCAACGTTTAACATTCGATTTTATAGTTGCGTTTGCAATACCTCCCATTTCTTGAAGTAGTTTCTTCATCTCTCATACATCTAATGATTATTTAAAACCTCATTTACATACAATTGGAAACATCTTCAATTTATGTTGTAGTAAACTTTTGTCTTTGGTAAAACTTATTGTTCAAAATTTAATCATTACATAAGCAGATTGGGCAACTGTTTTGGTACTTGCGTGTGGTATTGTTTATTTATTCATACTTTTCTTGAACCTTAAATATCATTCATATTATGTATTTTAAAAACACAAAGTTGCAAATTAAAATTCAGTCACCTATTTCTGGAGCACACTGTATAATATGAATCAGATAGTAATAGTTGTCGTTTGTGAAATTTCCAGTTAGTGAAAAAATTACTCATTTTCGCAAAGAAGCCAAAAACCACACACATTTTAAAACCGCTCAATAATCCGTTTACTTTATCTAAAAATAAAAAATGTCAGCCTGTTTGTGCTAATAAAATTTCCATTGATAAATAAATTAAACGGTATTAAAAGTTCTGTGAAGAAACGTAATTGTTTATTTATATGAGATAATACATTTTTACTATTTCCTGTTTTGTTTGACTGCTATATCAGTGGTGTTTGTGTTTGAAAATAGCGCAGACTTCATCGGCTATTATCAGAAAAAATCCCGACTAATAAAAATACCACAATTTGGTTCATTTTAAATTTTATTATAGTTCGTAATAATTGCAATTTACAAGAAWCCAGTGTTTAGTTCGAGATGTGGTCAGAACTGCGAAATAACACCGTATGTGATTCATCCGATTTGTCATATTGCAAAATGAAAGGAATTCCGTTGCAGTGTTTAATGTTTTGGCTCAAGATAGATGTAACAGTTTATTTTACTTGGATTCATGAGCATCACTGATTTTACGATAAACACGGAATAGATCGATATTGTCTTACATTTTCGGAAATAAATTCTTGATGTTCAAAAAAATATTTTTTAACACAGGGTGTGCCAGAAGATAAGATACCAAGGACATGAAAAAATTGTTTAAAAAATTCTATCTGTTAAAAAATTTTGACATTTAAATTTCAAGTAAGATACTATCTTACTGGTATACTAGGAACCTGGATAAAATGTTTAAATTCCATCTGTCAAAAAAAATTGACATTTATTTTTTGACATTTGACATTTTTTATGTCTATTTAATGATACTGATGATCTTGTATATGTTGTTTTACAATTATTTAGTAAAGGTACAAAAATTTTGCCAATAATAGCCACAAATAACATTGAACAGAGTTCTAATTTAGAATATAGCTCTCTTGTTTCCTTTTCTAATAATCTGTATTAAAAAAAAACTTGGAAAATTATTTTTCCAACAAAATAAATACAAAATTTAAACTCTCATAACTTCGAAATTTTTGTAGATAATTTTTTTTTAACATTTACCTTTTTCTCTGGGGRGCGAGTTCTGGCGCACCCTGTAGTGTCTGTATCAACACTCTTCTACTTATTTGAATGCATTTTAAAATGCAGGAACAATGCACCAAGAATTTGTATTCTCAATATTTAATTTTTTSATTGTATAAACGATCTTACAATTATGTGYTGATAACATTCCTCAAGTGAGTAGTGMTAATCAGAAGACTTGTATTTGTGTGGAATATAATTCCATCAACTAATCAAGTCTTARAATCAAGTGATTTATGCACAGTGAGTAGTGTTGGAATAACACTTTGAACACTTTGAAAACGTTATTAACAAATCATATAAATTTGTCAATTAATTTAAGCAACTGTTTACATTCTTGACCGTGTTGTAATAGTTTGATAGAGGTTGGTGATTGATTTTTATCGGAGAAATTAGATGTTTTATATCCAAATAGCTTCAACTGCTTTCAAATTCCCTATTTAGGTGACAGAACTACTTAAATCAGGCAAATTCTCTCGGATTCGCAAAAGGAAATCTATTTTTTATTAATTCAGTGGTACATCTAGTTTTTGTTACGTCGACAGAAATAATAAATTCATGTCATAACCTCAAATTCGACATTTCTTGATCAATTTTTTTTATATTGGGCTCTTAAAGTCTTAAACAACACTTCACAAATCACTACTTAACTATTTCAAGTCGACCAACTTTAATTTACACATTTCTTCGCCAAAATTCTTAATAAAATAGGAGACTTTTGTGTGTTGTTTTTTATAGGACGACGATATTTCTGTCAGAAGTGTCAAATTGAATGATTGAAATTCAACGCACTATTGGTTAATTTTTTTCAACTTACCGTTTTTATAGACTTTTGGCCCAAATAATACTAATTAACGAAAATAACTCGTCTGGTGCAGTGAAGGTTGGATTGAATTTTCAGTTTTCATCATCGTTTATTGTCTAAAGTTTGATATTTTTTGCTATAGTGTCTAACAAAATTACTCCGTGATCCCCTCTCTAAAAACAATTGCTATTTTGCGCGAGAGAGATGGTTAATTAATTTTTACACGGGTTGAGAGTGTTGGAGCTATCAAATCAGCACTAGAGAATTCAATACRATGTAGATTAGTGATWTTTAATTTTTTCTTGGTTAATATAGTGAAAAAAAACAATAATTTGCTATTAAAGTGTTCATAAAATTATTTGGTTTTCTTGAGTCAATTACTTAAATTGAATTAAAAGTAAGTTATAAGTTAATACATTGTTAAAGATTTTCTTCAACATTCACTCTGTAAATAAGTGAATAAAAAATATTTGCTTTTAGAAGAATAAACTTGAAGGGAAGTCATTAGTGTAAACGCAGTATTTCCCGGTTCAAGATGAAAGGAAAATATCCAATATTAATATTTGCGCAATAAATTCGAGCCGACTTACGCAAAATATTTACAAACACAAAACTACTCAACATTTGCAAAGAATAGATTGTTAATTATAAAATTTATCAGTAATAACTGTGACATCCTGATGCGAAACCGCAATAATTGCTATTAAATCAACAACAGTTGACTCTCCCTCTATTTTTTTTTCCTTAATCACCATTCACAGCTGWKAATTCCGCACCCTTTGACACTAAAACCGTGCTGACAATATTTTTTCAGGTATGCAGGTAGAAATTAGTACAAAGCTGCAAGCTTTGAATGACTCACAATTTGCAAGTTGCGGCCTTGAAATTACCACAATGAATTTTCTAACAAGCTGGAAGAAAATGAAAAGTTCTTTTTATCTCCGGAAAGGTCCGAGCACGAGCCTGAAAAAAGAGCAAAGCTGCTATTGTGCCAAATCACCTTTAACTGAAAACCCAATAAAGAACAATGATATAGGTATACGGAAGTTCATTTGAAAAAGAATTTCAAGGGTTTTATGGCAGGTAAAATTTTAGCCGAGGTTACAGAAAGTGTCCAGTTTTCAAATAGAAGTAACTTATCGGTTCAAATTTGGTCATTGGTTTTGTCATCATTTCGTATTGGTGTTTAGTATTGGTAGCGCTATCGAATTTTGATTAGTTATGATATCACTGGCATGTTTAGGAAAAACGTTGTATGAATGTTCGGAGACTGGTAATTGCTGTTTTGTAAATGAGCCGAAAAAGAACCTACGTGCAAATAGGCTTGAGTCACGTATCTGTCACTATTACTATTTGTGAATTCTGATTTGAAGAATATTTAAATGCAAAGGGAAGGAGATTTGTCATCCAGAAYAGTGACTCACGAAAATAATGATTTCGATTTGGAAAATACTGTTTTCGGTTTTGTATTGCAAATTATCACTATTACTTAGTGCTTGTTTAACTTATTTTTTTATTGTAATATTTTTTTCAGATGAGTAAAAAGAAGGAAAACTTTTATTACATTACAGAAAAAATGCTTTTTAAGTTTCTTAAATGTTTTATGTAATAAATCAATGTACTTACATAATTTTTGTGGTTTATAAAATAAAAAAAGTATCAAATCTATTCGTCGAAATTTCTTTTTTATCAGAAAATTCTCATTCCACCTTTTGTGTTCCTATATAGGCAACCATTTAAACATATTTGACTCAATAAGTCATTAAATTCCACGGAATTCGTGGAATAAGATGGAAGGCTGACGCACCTGTAAACACCCAATAAAAATGCACGCTGCATGGAGCCATTTGGTAACCAATGATACCAATTACGAAAAAATCCCAAGAATTTTAGTAGTAACCCTTGTGAAATTGGTATAAAGTGCTTTGTTAGTTGCATAGGTTAATAGACAAATATGCGAATAGACGAATACGAATAGACAAAAGTAGTAGTAAAGCCAGATGTGCATTATTAGTTGCAGCATATGTAATTAATACCGGCGACAAAAAAATCTATTGGCAACACTGCATTATTCTCAACCCTTCTAATTTGTTATATTCTATCAAATTTGTAAATTTTCTAATATCTGGTGATTTCTTGGAAATGAAAAAAGCTGTATTTCGACCATTGTCTACGTTTTCAATCAGAAACTTGATTACTTCATCAATTTTTCTGAAATGAGATCGAAAAACCACAAAATAGTTCTGTTTGTTTTTTTACAGGATTTTACAGAATTGAAAATGACAATTTATTTTTCTTTTCAAGTGTTTAAGCACGTTTTTGGGATAAAAACAAAGAAAATTCTTAAAATTTCGTTAAAACAGATAAAAAAAATTACAAAGTTAAATCGAAACTGATATTATTTTTATTTTGTTTTATCTTTGCTTTTGAACCAGAGGCTCATTCAATATGCAAAATCTTGTCCAAATAGGCTTAAAAATCACAAAAACAGTTGATATTGGTGTTGTTTTCACTCAATTTTTGAGCAAAATAAGACAAAAAGAAGCTGAGAAACTACAAAATTTGACCGAAAATACTTTTACGAGATTGCGCTAAAACAAATTAAAAATCAAGAAATTAAGTCTAGAATTACACTATTTTTGCATTTCTCGAGCATTTTCAGCTAAAAACGCAAAGTTTTGTTGAAAACAAGTCAAAAAGTGAATTTTTTGGCGAGATATAGCCATAATTTGGCGAATTTTTTAACGCGGATCTGGTAAATTTTATTTGGCAACGCTGGTTTCAGGTGATGTTTGAATTTGAAAGTCAAGCTTGCCAAACTAAAATTTTAAATTTGATACAACCTTAAAATAAAAAAATCAATCATATTCGCGGATGTGTTTATTTTTTTCTACTATTACTAAGTTAAATATGAATTTTTAATATTGTACTTTTATAAACCATCCACGAGAGAAGTTAGTTTGGCTTTCCTTGCCAGCGTTTAACATAATTTTTATAAAAAAAATACGAAACCCAAGGATGATAAAAGTGTCTGTGAAATAGTAGAAACACTGTATTAACATTGTTGCAATTTTATCCAAAGAAAACAAAAAAGTAATTATTTCATCTTTTGTGTAAAAAAAACTAAAAAACCTTTAGTTGTTATTTTTAACAAAAACAATAATAGGAGCAAACACACCTAACCCAACAATTATGTCCAATTATAAGACTTCCAACAATTAGCAATAATAAACGAACTAAAAAATCAATAATTTATCATCATTGCGCAGATGAGACGGCAATTTTTATTATAAGAACAAATATACCATCACAAAGAGGACAATAATTAGGGATGTAATTTTTTTCTTGATTAACTATTACCTTAATTTTTCAGTTACTACTAAACACAAATGTAAAAAATTTACATTAAATTTTTGCAAAAATTCAGTTATTCAGAAATTCTGACCCCAGATATTAAATCCTATTGGAGTGGGGTGTTTTTTCCCAAAAAAAGAAGGCAATTTAATAGTTTTTTAACACATAAAAATAAACAGTTAAAATGAAAATAAATACGAACATCTATCGAATTTGCTCATCATCTTGCTGAATCATTTCAGTAATTGTTTTTATTAAACACTTYCAACTTTTGAAATGCTTATTCACTCTCAAATAACCGTTGTAATCATACTATTATCACGGTTATACAACACAATCAATCTCAATGACCAAGTCAAGGTTTATAAATGAGTATCATATAATTCTCCGYKTCCTCCCACCTATSTGTATATTTAGGTACTATTATCACTTAGATAATTCAGTTGTTTTTGAAACGTTGTCTACAGCATAGTCATCATGGTCATCTCAATGGATCGCTGGAGAGGCAAAGTGGCCATKGTCACTGGCGCAAGTTCCGGAATTGGGGCCGCCATAGCCSAACAATTGGTCATTGAAGGCTTACAAGTACGAAAATTTCAATTTTTAACATWAAAAAAACGAGAAAAAGGTCGCAGGTTTTGCCCGTCGTTCCGAACGCGTTGAAGAACTTGCGAAGAAACTCCAAGGCAAAAAGGGCAAACTCGTCGCTGTTAAAGTCGATTTAACGAAAGAGGAGGACATTATCAAGGGCTTCAAATGGGTTTCGGACAATTTGGGACCAGTTCACATCCTAGTTAACAATGCTGGACTCCTTCAACCCACAAACCTCACCGAGGGTGACACAAAAATGTGGAAAAAAATCCTAGACACTAATGTCCTAGGTTTGTGTATTGCGACGAGAGAAGCGGTGAAAATAATGAAAACTGGGAAAATTGACGGTCATATTGTTCATATCAACAGTGTGGCAGGTCACACAGTGCCCAATTTTCCGAATTTGAATGTTTATCCGGCCTCGAAACATGCTGTGACGGCTTTGACGGAGACTMTGCGTCAAGAGTTGAATCAACTCGGGTTGAAGATCAAAATTACGGTACAAATTGTGACTAATCGGGTGAAAATGTATTTTTTTTGATCAAATTTTAGAGTGTCAGTCCTGGAGCTGTCGAAACGGAAATAATTCAAGCTAATGGATTCCAGATTCCTCCAGAAATGGAAGTGATGATGAAAGGATTACCGATGTTGAAAAGTGAGGATATTGCTGATTCAGTTTTGTATGCTTTAGCAACACCACCTCATGTTCAGGTAGGATTTTTGTGAAAATTAATGCTTGCTCTCATTGGGACTYATTTTAGGTGCACGAATTAATTATCATGCCCGTGGGAGAAAAATTTTGAAATAAATTCACAATTTATTTTTCTGGTAGTGACACTAGTAAAAAATTGTATTATTATATTTATTTATGCTGATATTGTGTACCTATGATGTTTTAATAAAGACKAGAAAAAAATAAATTGTGGTTCTTGGGTAATTCTATGGACAGGACAGTAATTAGGAATGGACYAATTGAGAACAAAAATTTTTGAAAAATTAATTTCAATTTCACAAAGACATTATTCTTCTTGTCCACAATTTGTGAATTTGCTTTAATTTTGGTATTTTTTTAACTCATTTTGTTTTAAATCTATATACATTTTAATAATAATCAACAACGGTGTTACATTTTTTGTGTAATTGTAATTGCCGTAATTGCCGTTTGAATATTGGAAAATAGTTCAAAACAATTCAGTATCTAGAAAACTATTCGTCGTAGAGCAATATTGTATCAAATTTGTCGCATAATTTTACGATGCAACGGAAATCCACATTTTTTTTCAATTTCAGGTTTGCGACCTAAAATTGATCAACCACATCTTGAAAAATTCAAGGTTTTTTAAATTTTGTTTCAAAATTGAGTTTCATGCCCCTATGACTGCAAAAAACGTTATTTAATTAATTTTTTTGATTTTCCAAAAATTTGAGTAAATTCGATATTTGCCAATAACTTCGGAACTATTGGTGGTAGCTATTTAATAACAATTTTGATTATATTTTATATGAAAAAAATTTCCTGCAATGTATAGATATCGAGAAAATTGCTGATATATGCAGAAATTGGTAATTGATCGATAACTTCTAAACACTAAAAATTTTACGAATTTTTTGATGCCAATCATTTTGTCGAATCATTACACATACATAGCCATTCTGAGATGAAAATTGTCGTAATTGACATAAAAATAACTCGATATTATAAAATATGATCAAAATTTTGGTCATTTTTGAGACAAAATAGTTTGATATGAGGTTTTAGCCACGTTTAGCCAAAATTGTTTTTAATTATAAGCTCAATTAATTTCACCAAAATTGTGAAAAGCAAAATTTTAAGATACCATAGACTTCAAATGGCCATGCTTTGTAATCTATTGTTTGAAAAGTATCTTCTATTATTACTATGATGTACAAGGCTTTTGGTATTAACGCATTTTTGCTTTTTATATAACTGTAATATACAGGGTGCGCCAGAACTCGCGCCCCAGGGAAACATTTCAAGTAAGATAAGATATCTGGAACATGGAAAAAATGTTTAAAAAATTCTATCTATCAAAAAACTTTTACATTCATTTTTTAACATTTGACATTTTTTTATGTTTATTTAATGATAGTGATGACCTTTTTACAATTATTTAGTAAATGTACAAAAATTTTGTCAATGAAAGCCACAAATAACATTGAACAGAGTTACAATTTATGATACAGCTTCCTTGTTTCCTCTTCTAAAAGCCTGTAGTAAAAAATCTTAAAAAATAATAAGTCAAAGTGCAAAATTTAAACACTCATAACTTCGAAATTTTTGTAGATAGAATTTTTCTCTTGAGTGCGAGTTCAAGCTATGTAAAAAATAAATAATAATAAAAATAAATTTGTATTTTGGGCCAAAATTGCAAAAACTTAGGAGATATTTCACAAGGTTATAAAATATAAAAAATCAGTTTTGGCATAACGCACTAACAATAGTTCCAGATTTTTTTATTAGTGCGTTGTCATAATCGCTGTTTAATAATTGGAAAATAGTTCAGTATCTAGAAAAAAACTTGAAATCGACCGGAGTTATAGTTTCAATTAGAATTCTTCGATTTTTTATAATGAAAAAAAAAATGTAACTCGAAAGCTAACGGTTGAAAACGATTTTTCAGAAATTTCAATATTGTTTTCAACCTCAAACCAGCAACGTTTTATGCATTTTTCTGATTTTTTAGAACCATCAAATGTACGAAAAGTGTCATTTGCTCGTTTGGTTTCCGAAATTCACACCTGATCAAAATTTTGGTAGCAAAATATTTGCATAAGACATCATCGACTCAAAAATTATTGTTACTATTGTTCATATTTCTCAAATTTGCTCTTAACATTACCATGTCAAAAACAATCGATTTTTATTTGTTTAATTTTTTGTTTTAAAATGTGAATAGTTAAAAGTGTTTTCAGTAAAATCTTGACAGGCCCAGGTTTTTTTATTAGTTAGTGTTGTCATAATCGCTGTTTATAAATTGGAAAATAGTTGAGTATCTAGAAAAAAACCCGAAGTCGACCGGAGTTATAGTTTCAGTTAGAATTCTTAGATTTTTTAAAATGAAAAAAAATGTAGGTAACTCTCGAAAGCTAACTGTCGAAAACGATTTTTCAAGAACTTCAAGATTGTTTTCAACCTTAAACCTACAACGTTTTATGCATTTTTTTCTGATTTTTTAGAACTATAAAATGTACGAAAAGTGTCATTTGCTTTTTTGGTTTCTGAAATTCACACTTGATCAAAATTTTAGTAGCAAAATGTTTGCATAAAATATCATCGACTCGAAAACTATTGTTACTATTGTTCATATTTTTCAAATTTGCTTTTAACATTACCTTTCTTATGATGTCAAAAACAGTGGATTTTTATTTGTTTAATTTTTTGTTTTAAAATGTGGACAGTAACAATAGTTTCAGATTTTTTTTGCCACAAATAACATTGAACAGAGTTACAATTTAGGATACAGCTTCCTTGTTTCCTCTTCTAATAGCCTGTAGCAAAAAATCTTAAAAAATAATAAGTCAAAGTGCAAAATTTAAACACTCATAACTTCGAAATTTTTGTAGATAGAATTTTTCTCTGGAGTGCGAGTTCAAACTATGTAAAAAATAAATAATAATAAAAATAAATTTGTATTTTGGGCAAAATTGCAAAAACTTAGGAGATATTTCACAAGGTTATAAAATATAAAAAATCAGTTTTGGCACCGTAATGATGAAATGCAAACATCAACAACAGTTTTGCTGTTTCACCTCTTAATAATCGGCATGATAAACCTACAAATTATCTAATTGATGAGACCAAGGTAACGAACGTGAGTAAGTATGCTCCCCCTACCTGTATATAATCACTAATAATCACTATATAACAACACCCAAAACATCAATCTCATTCAGTTCTAATTTTTAGTTGAGTAGTAATTATTTTCGCAACCATGGTCATCTCAATGGATCGCTGGAGAGGCAAAGTGGCCATCGTCACTGGCGCAAGTTCCGGAATTGGGGCCGCCATAGCCCAACAATTGGTCATTGAAGGCTTACAGGTACAAAATTAACATTTTTAACATTAAAAAAACGAGAAAAAGGTCGCAGGTTTTGCCCGTCGTTCCGAACGCGTCGAAGAACATGCGAAGAAACTCCAAGGCAAAAAGGGCAAACTCGTCGCTGTTAAAGTCGATTTAACGAAAGAGGAGGATATTATCAAGGGCTTCAAATGGGTTTCGGACAATTTGGGGCCAGTTCACATCCTAATTAACAACGCTGGACTCATCCAACCGACAAATCTCACCGAGGGCGAAACCCAAATGTGGAAAAAAATCCTAGACACTAATGTCCTAGGTTTGTGCATTGCGACAAGAGAAGCTGTGAAAATAATGAAAGCTGGAAAAATTGATGGTCATATTGTTCATATCAACAGTGTGGCAGGTCACACAGTGCCCAATTTTCCAAATATGAATGTCTACCCGGCTTCAAAACATGCTGTGACGGCTTTGACGGAGACTCTGCGCCAAGAGTTGAACCAACTGGGATTGAAGATTAAAATTACGGTACAAATTGTGTCCAAGTCGAAGAAAAATATATTTTTTTAATCTAATTTTAGAGTGTCAGTCCTGGAGGTGTCGAAACGGAAATAATTCAAGCTAATCAGCTTCAAATAAATTCAGAATTGTTGAAAAATATGTCCATGTTAAAGAGTGAAGATATTTCAGAAGCTGTTTTGTACGCTTTGGCAACGCCACCTCATGTTCAGGTGAAAATTGTGATAAAATAATGTATTTCTCACTCTGTAATAACTTTTTCAGGTGCACGAATTAATTATCAAACCAATTGGAGAGAAATTTTAGAGAATAATGAGTGTTAATAACAAAAGTGTAAACTATGACAAGCTCTTAAATATTTAATAAAAATGTACGAAATAAGTGAGTTTTTGTAGTTCTTTGATTATTCTATGTTGTAATTGTGTTTACTTTTCAAGAGACAAAGTAAGAAAACATTAACTGAAAAAAAAATGTTCTAAATCAAGGCATTTTATTTTAGAAATTTAAATTCAATTTATAATTATTATAATTAATAATAAAGACATCATAGTTATTTTATAATTTAGAAACTAATGTTAAAGTCTAAATTTAGACAAATCTTTTACATCATAGGAATTTTCATAAATCCCTGAAATCCTTGCAAGCACATCGAGAGCTTTTGTTTCTTCAGAACATTGCCCACAAAACGTCACTAAACACAAATTTATTTTCAATTAATTTTTATTTCTTTGGGGTTGAAAAAACAGCTAAAACCGACCGCCACCACATCGGACGGATTTGGCACTGCTTGAATTGTCCTGGCGATTCAAGAGTGCGGAATCATCCGTTATAAATAGCGAAACCATTGAGGTTACGTTTTCACAAACTCCAAATTTACTTTTTATTTAGTTTATTTTACGTTTTTTGTGCTAGTGCTAGGACGAGTACCAAGAGACAGATGTTAAACACAATTTAAATTTGTGTTTTGACTTTTTGTTTTTTTTTTTCTTGAAAAGTTGGTATAGTGTGAGAGACGAGTTTGGAAAGCGCTCTCGTTAGAAATTTCCACAAAAGAAAAAGGTTAGAACTGACAATCCTAGCAGGTTAGAACAATTTTTTTAATATTATACAGAATGTCCCAGAGAGTTGAAAAGGTCTATTAGTGGCCTTTAAATGGTAAAATTTAAAAAAAAATGTATAGGACACTGATAGATACTAATCTAGTGTGTCGCCCAAAATTATTTTCAACTATACAGCGTGTCTCAAAAATAAGTTACAATGCAAACTTGTATTTTTTTAAATGCCTAAAAGTTTATTTTTTTAGATAAACAATTTATCAGTTTATTAGATGCAAAAATAAAAAATAGGGTCTCCCATATATTTTTTTTTAAGTTATTTAACTTTTAACAAACTTGTTAATTTATTAATCTTTACAATTGCAAAACACTAAAAAATTGCTACAGTTTTAAATTACTTTCTTCTTTGCGAAAGTAAGAAAAAATAATTTGTTCTAGCTATCTTAATTTTTGTGTAATAAATTTCTAAAAAGTGCAAGTTTTCGTCAAAAAAAAGTTTTATTTCTAAAACTAAGCGAAATCGACTAATAAAAGTTTAGCGTAAAAACATTGTTTTAAAAAATATCTATCAATACATTTTTTTAAGTTTACCATTTAAAAGTCACTAATGGACTTTCTCAACACGCTGGGACAGCCTGTATATTAACCTTTTTTACGTAACAAAGAAATGGTTTATTTAATTTTTATTAACGCTAAATAACATTTTTTGATACAAAACTTTTATAGTTTCATTTTGCCCATCATATAGACATTGTAGTCTTTACTGTTCACTGAAAAACAAATTAGAAAATTAAACAACCCACAAAAATACTTACAAAAATATTTTGCGATTGCATGTGGCTCATCCTTCTTCTTCTCAATGTCACTAATGATGGCTTTGAGTCGATTTGCCATATTTTCCAAATTTTTCGCATTCACTCGTCCTAACAAATTATTACTTGTGTTCCAGTAATAAGGGATTCTTCCCTTTTCGATACAATCCTTATACTCAATTAGCACAGTCACAAAAACATAACTCAAAGGATTCCTCCAAAACTCCTCCGGCTTTTTATCAGCAATGTGCAACAACACTGTCTTAATATAATAACTGGCAACAGCGCTATGTTGCAAATTGTCTCGCAATTTCTAAAACCACTCATTAAAATTCAAACAAAACAAAGAAAACTAACTTTCAAAAGTTTGATTGTCGGTTTTAGGGTTCTTTTATTGTCAATTAAAACCCTTTCCTGCTCTTGGAAAGACAGTCTCCAGTGTCTGCTACTTTGGCCAACCTCGGTTTTGGGTTTTTTCGGAACAATGAAAAAATCAGGCTAATTTTTTGTTTAAAAAAGTTTTGTAATAAAAAATCACCTTGGTTTTCACAGGATTGGACTTGAACCCAGGTTTGGGCCACATATCTCCATGGAAGATGAAACACGTGACCAAATCGACGTCCATTGCCATGCCAGAGCCCGAAATTTTTAGGGTCAAAGCCGGACCTGCTTTATGCACAATTACCTAAAAAAAAATTTTTTTTTTGGAATTTTTTTTTTGGTAACAAACCTCGAAAGCCCCATTCGAGTTTGAAACAACCCGTTTTGGGCCCTTTTGCGGGAAGTCATTCATGGCTTTTTGCACGATTCCCTCCATCCAGGACAGGACTTTATCAGTATCCAGAAAATATTCCTTATCGAATAAATTCCCAAAAGTCCGGAAAGTGGGATTAGCTTCCGGTTGTCTCATAAACCCATCATAATTCCCAAGTTTCAAGTGCACAAAACCGGGCACTTTACTGACGATAATAGTCGGTTCTGCGTATTTGGGCACACTTAGAAGCAAGTCCAGGTCGAATTCCTCAGGTTTGCCAACTCTGAGACCATCATAGTAACTTCCACCGTAGAAAACACGCGAAAACATTTTCTTGAATAAGGGGTCTTTCTCTTTCATTTTGTCTATGAAAGTTTTGAGGATCTTGAAAGCAACGTAGTGAAAATTATTGATAGGGAAATAATTACCGATTCCAAGATTTGGTTGTTTCGTTTCACTTCCTTGTCTTGGAGCGAAATAAACTTGCTGTTTATTTCGTTTAAAGTGTTTTCCAAGTAGAGGTATTTTTTGGTTTCGGTCATTTTGGTGGCTGTGGACGACACCAGCCGATTTTAAGGCCACTATCACTTTTATACTGCAGAATAATTTAATAATCTTATCATAATTTACTAAGATTAAGTTACAATTGATAAAATTAGAGGAAGTCTACTCTGTCTAAAAATCTAACAATAAATAATATGGGAGTAAATGGATGAGGTAATATCAATTTTGATGTTGTTTGATATTTCTTTTATCAGTTTTATCTGATTGTATTGTCAAAAAAACTTGACAAAAAGAACGCCGTTTTAGATAAATTAGTCATTGTGTCTTAACAAAAAATATCAAAAATTATTTAGAAATTTAAGCAATGTCAAATTCTGGGCTATACCTATTATAATAATAATACCTATACAGGTGCGCCAGAACTCGCGCCCCAGAGAAAATTTTCAAGGAAGGACATGAAAAAAATGTTTAAAAAATTCTGTCAAAAAATTTTGACATTTATTTTATGACATTTGACATTTTTTTATATCTATTTAATGATACTGATGATCTTGTATATGTTTTTTTACAATTATTTAGTAAATGGACAAAAATTTTGCCAATAAAAGCTACAAATAACATTGAACGGAGTTAAAATTTAGGATACAGCTTCCTTATTTCCTCTTTTAATAGCCTATATAAAAAAAAACTTGGAAAATTATTTTTCCAACAGAAATAAATAGAGTCAAAGTGCAAACTTTAAACCTTCATAAGTTCGAAATTTTTAGAGATAAAAATGGATTATACAGGATGCGCCAGAGAAAAATGCCATATTACGTAAGATACCAAGAACATGAAAAAAAAATATCTATAAAAGTTTCGAAGTTATGAGAGTTTAAATTTTGCACTTTGACTATTTATTTCTGTTGGAAAAATAATTTTCTAAGTTTTTTTACTACAAGCTGTTAGAAGAAGAAACAAGGAAGCTGTATCCTAAATTGTAACTCTGTTTAATATTATTTGTGGCTTTTATAAGAATTTTTTTTTTACCTTTTATACAAGAACATCAATAGCATTAAATAGACATAAAATAATGTCAAATGTCAAAACATAAATGTCGATTTTTTGACAAACAGAATTTTTTAAACACTTTTTCCGTGTTGCTGGTATATTATCTCACTGGAAATTTTTCTCTGGGGCGAGTTCTGGCGCACTCTGTATATTATTTTTTCTACCTCTAGCATATTTATTTATTTCGGGAGTAAAAACACTAAATATCAATAAAAGTAATTACAATAAATATCTGTCAATTAAAACCATAAAACATTATCATTTCCTATTTCTTAGTTGGTCAGAATTACCATTAAGCAGTACTACAAAAAATTTCTCCATTTTTAAAATAACGTTAAAATAATCAAAAAATGTTTTACTGCAAAACATTAGCGAAAATAGTCTATTTTTAGCAATGAAGAAATGATTTATCAAACAATAAAACCCATTTATCGTAGAAAAACACTTTTAAACAATCACCGGTAAATCCCCGAATTTCACCATTTTCAATTGTCACAAGATGACTCATTGTTTGTCAAAGATATTTGCAAGATAACGATCTTTTAGTGTCAATAATCTTTCATTATAAAGGTTAATAATTATATTACCACACATTTTTTCACATTGATAAGAATTTGAAACGAGCATTATATTTGCAAAATCAGACTTTGTTTATCAAACAAACAAAACTAATGCAATGAGTCATCAGAGACAAGCACGATAAATATGAGAATTTTCTCGAGTACCAACCAAGTCGGTATCGTGAGTTGTCTTTGAATTTTTTTCAAAATTCACACATTCACATTTTTCACTACCTTACTTGGTAATTAATTATCTTGTAGATAAAATTAATAAAATTGAATTGGATTTTTAAACAACCTTGACAGTCTGACAGCGTCGATAACCCCTCCATTACCAGCAAACAGAATCAGAAAATTGCAAGTTTTGTGACAAAAAATGGGGAAGAAAAACCCGTTTTCTGGCCTGGAAGACGGCTTAAATGAAGCAAACCGAGAATACATCCAATGGAATCGAAATGATAATCACAGGACAAAAATCAAAGTTCTTAAAGTACGTTTGTGCACAAAATCTACACTTTAATAAAATTAAATAATCACAGGTGGTAAAAAAAATCGTAAATCTAATGAAACTCCAATCGCCGGCTTTCGCAAAACTGGAACCAACAATCTTCGGTAATGGCAGCAGTTTCGAAGGGTTAAAAGTTGGCCAACCTGACGAATTTGACATTGATATTTTACTCACTTTGCCGGGGGAAACCCAGCCGGAGGTAAAAACGGACACAATCCCAGGTTTTGTCCAATTGCAACTTTTAGGTTTTGATAATTTGGCTCAAACTGATCCGGAATTATACAGGTTGATTTTTTACTTACTTATTATTAGGGTAATGAGCGAATTTGTTGACGATGATAATTACTTGCTCACGACCCAAATGAAGTCATCTTTCATGCAGAGTATTTTTGACAAAACTCGTGACAAGTATTTTTCAAATGGAGTTATTAAAGGTGATCACAAAAAGGTTTCTAATTTTTTATTGTCTATATTTTGGGGTTCATTTTCATTTGTTTTAGATTACAAGAGCGCAAAATAAAGGGCCTGCTTTAACTTTAACCATAGATGGTTTCAATTTATTGGTTACAATTGATTTAGTCCCTTGTTTTGTTCTTACAAACTGGCCCCAAAACGGTTTTCGTCCCAACCCCTTTCCAGAAATTGATGTAAGTTTATAGTTAAAAAAAACACTAATTTGATTTTAATTTCAGGAGTTTTTTATAGTTCCAAAAGAGCCTAAACGAGAGCATCCTCATCTGGAAAGGTACTGGCGATTGTCTTTCCAAGAACAGGAAAGGGAACTCATGTTTGACAAAAAGTGGATGAAACCGACAATTCGAGTCATGAAGGTTTTCAACAAAACATTCTTGTTTTATTAATTGATATAAATGATTGCAGTGCCTGAGAGATCATTTCAAACACAAGATTTCAAGTTATGCAATCAAGACTCTCTTTTTTTGGCAAGATCAAATTACACCGGATTTGTGGAGAGGTCCTTTGAGTCATTGTTTGGTTTATGTAAGTCAATTTGTGTTTTTTCTTTAATTACTTTCACTTGTTTATAGATGTTGGAACGGTATTTACGTTGCTTGGAGGATAAAAAAATTCCTTATTTTTGGTACAGCAAGTTGGATCTTTTGGATAATTTAACCGATTCGCAAAAAGAACAGTATAGGGATGATGTCCAAAGGATGCTTAATGATATTAAAGGTGATCCAACAGCAGAAACTATTCTTACATATTTTGGTTAATTCTTTGTTATTGTATTAAATAAAAACTACGATTTTCTTAATCAAACTTGAAATGTTTTATTGGTTGCATACATCTAGAACTTTTATTAAGTGAATTGAGCCTAAAAATAATATGAAACAGCTTTTTTGTGACGTTTTAGACTTTTGAAAGAGAAAATTTTTAGAAATTATTTATTTTTAGTGTTTTTTTCTTTCTTTTTCTAATTTTTTTACACGTGTGCATAACTGGTTGCATATTCTAATTACTATTTAATTTATTTTATATGAAAGTACCGGCCGGTATTATCACAGTCCTGGTGAGGATTGGAATTTGTGATAAGACTTGTTTTAAAATAATCGAGAAATCCTGCAAATCATCTTATCTTTTATTTTTATCACAAGTTTTCTGGATCTCAGTTGGCAGTTGACATTTGTGCCCACTTTTGACAGAAATCAAATCGTGTCCCAAGTTTCACCAATTTCCCAAAATTTCAAAAAACCACGATGAAAGTCGTCAAAGACAACGAAAACAAATGGTCAGGATACGGACTTCGCATTTTCCTCAACACTTTGTCCCACCCTTTCGAGTACGCCAAAGTCCTCATACAGGTTAGAAAATCGGTGAAAATTGCTGGAAAACTCACTTATTGTGCTATTACAGATCGGATACGAACCCATACCGCCCTATTCGTCGAAAACCTTGCTCGGCAAGCCGGCCTTGAAACTGCCAAACATTTTCCAATACGGTAAACCCCTGAAAATGGTAAAATCGCACTAATCAGCCCCCTTGCAGTGAAACACATTAAATCAGTGGATGGAGTCTCGGGGTGCTACCGCGGCTTGGGCCCCAAAGTCTGCGGCAGTCTCATCAATCTCGTAGCGACGCAAAAAATGATGGAATACCTCGACTTGAACCAACAAGATGAAGAAGAGGACACTGATGTTGAGGAAAATAGAAAACAGAAGTTTTTGAAGTGTCTCAAAGGCGATATCATCACACACACAACAGCAATAATCATCAGTCAGCCGTTTCATGTAATTACAATCAGAATTATGGCACAGTTTGTAGGAAAAGAGTCCAAATATGTGTAAGTGCAAGTTATAATTCAAGATAAAACACTATTTCGGGGGTTTACAGGGGCGTTTTTGGCTCGATTGGTGAAATATACCGACAGAATGGCATTCTGGGGTTTTTTAGTGGACTCATTCCGAGACTAATAGGGGATATTTTGTCCGTTGTGTTGGCAAGCAGTTTGACCTATGTCATCAATAAGTACCTAATAGAAGAGAAGGAAATACAAAATTATACTTCAGCGGCCGTCTGTGTAAGTAAAAATATGTGTGGTACCCCTGATTGTAGAGCACAACCAACTAGATTGTCGCTTGTTTTTTTTATTAAAGTAACTAAAACATTTATAGTATTTACTCTTCAAGAATCACATTTCGCAGATGGTGTCCTCGTCCATAATGTACCCCTTCCAAGTGGTTTCCAACTGCATGGCTGTCTCAAATTCCGGCTTGTTGGCCGGGTCGCCCCCCTATATGTTGCACTACAACACTTGGATTGACTGTTGGAACGATTTGTCTAGTCGTAATCAACTGAAACGGGGATCTAGTCTTTTGGTCCGGTATTACAAGGGCCCTTCTTTGATTACAAGTYAAGGCAGTCTACTCATAGGCAAAGACCTCAAGACCAACTAAATTTCATGTTCATATTCAGTAGTTGATTTTTTTCTTTACAAATTGAGGCAATTGTGTGTAAATATTAGAGTATTGTATTATTTTACAATAAAATTCTTGTTCAATTTTAATTGCAGTTTTTTTGGCACTGTTACGGCTCAAAAGTACAAAAAAGTTGAAATAATTTGCGCGCTAGGGGTGTTACATGTATTAGGTTGGCAACAATGTTAAAATTAAACTAGAAATGTTTTTTTATTTGCTATGAAATCAAACCGCTTGTCACAAAAAAAAACATTTTATTTTTAATTACAGATGTCAACTGACAACCAATAATATTGCCAACATTTGGTAATTTTTTGATTACCAAATCATATTGAAAAGTCAAATTTGAGGTTAAAGCCTGCTTGTCAGTAGATCAGAAAGTGAAAAATTTGATCAATGGCTCATTTTTTGCTATATTTTTTAAAAACTAAAATTAAAACTGTAGTATTTAATTTTTTTGGTTACAATCGCAAACACCAACCTTGAAGAAACAAAAGCACTAAAAAAGGCAAAAAAAAAGAAGCGCGAATCGCTGTCGCTGCTGTTGAGCATAGTAGCGTTAGTTTTACTGTTTATCTTCCAGAAAAAAGATTCTTGTGGTAAATGTAACGATTTACGAATGCCAATAATGTATAAAGTGTAGTTTTTAGGAGTTATTACAACAAGATGGCGCGTACTAAGAAAACCTCAAAGAAGAGAATGGGATCGCCCACCGTCCCTTCCACTTGTTTTGTGGGAAAGAATAAAAAACATCGTATCCAATTAAAGCTACGTGGGATTATTGAAAAATTGATATTGTCTACAGAGTCTTGGATTCCACAAATGCCTTTTTCACTTATTCGTGAACTTCTCCAACATCAGAAAAGGGATCTCAGGATTCAGAGAAGTGCTTTACAAGCACTGCAGGCGGCTGCTGAGGGATTTGTAGTTTCGTTTTTAGCAGACAGTATTTTCTCTAGCGGCCCTTGCAGCCATAAGAAACTTGTACTCGTAGAGCAAATTTTAAGCTTAAAGCTCTAACACTGTGTTAGTTTATTCATGTTGAATCTTTTGTTTTTGTTTTTATTTTAATACTGCAAATTCTAATGTTAAAAGTTAATGTTTTAGAGAATATATTCAGTTATTTTTTGTTTATTTTGTGTTCTATGGTTGGCACTGCTAGTGTCAAAAATGTCACTCACAGCATAAATTGTCAATTTCAAATGTCACACAATTTATAATAAATAAGTCAACTGTCATTTATTTCAGTATCACCAACTTAATGTTAAAGTTACAGTTAAAAATTACGGCCTAGATATACCCAGATGTGATTTTATGGCCAGTTTTATTGAAATCTTGCGAAATAAATGAGACTTTAATTTTTTATTTAATTCTTTTATTATACCTGTGACTTATTTTTTATTAATGAAAATTATACAAAAAAAAACACTTTTAGTAATAAGAAAAAAAAAGGAATTTTTACCTCAAAAACAAGCATCAACCTTCAAAAAAGACAAAAATCGCATCAATATCGATCTAATTATGCGATTTTTCGGATAGTTTTAGCAAAATCTTGAAAAATATTTGAGTTTTTACACTAAGAAAGTTAATTTCTGGCTTAAAAACAAGGTAAAACGTTTAAAAGTTAAAAAAATTACCTTAATTTGGAACTAATTCCATAATTTTTAAGCTTGTTTTGTCAAAAGCTCACGAAATGAAAGAGTTTTTGGCTCAAAAACGAGCTAAAATTCTTTAAATCGACAAAAAAATCATTTTTGACCTAAATATGTATTTTTTGGCTAGTTTTATCAAAATTATAGAAATAATTTTTGACATAAATATGTGGTGTAGTTTTATAACCGGTTTTCTTGAAATTTTGCAAAATAAATAAGTTTTTCGTTCAAAAACGAGCAAAAAGTCTTAAAATAAGCATTTTCGACTTTTATATTTGATTTTTTATTAAAAATTTACGAACAACTAAGCTTTTTTATTCAAAAACATGCCTATACGCTCAAGGAATTACGGGACAACAGGGAGTTTTTAGTTCTTAAAAGTCGTAAGTTCAGGCTCAAAAACGTGCAAAATTTTTTACAAGAAACAAAAATAGTTGTATTTTTACCTGCTTAAACAAAAAAGGCCATTTTGACACCAAAAACACGATAAAAAATTATTAAATAAATAATAAATCAATTGTCATTAATTTCCTAGGGGCGGCTGTTAATAATTCAGTGTCGCCAACTTAATTTTAATGTCACAGCTCACTTTGATCGGAAATTTTTTCGGAAGCTTGATATAATTTTTTACATTTATTTTTAATTGAATCAGTTAACAATTTGTACTTTTCAAAAAGCGATTATAAATCCAGTCAGTTTTTCATCGTAATAACCGCTATTTTCTTTTAATAAACAAGACCGGTTTAAATTTGAATTTGGCGCGTTCTGTCATTTGTCATTCGCTCAACAAGTGCATTGTGGGATTACATGGTGGTCATTTTTGTCATATTATTGTCGAAAAGTCTCGCAAACAAGCCGAATAATTGCGCATTACCTGAAACTCGCATTAATTACTATGAAATTTGTGATATGCTGTTTATTATTAATCGCCGTATCTGTGTAAACCGTGCATTTATCCAAGCGTTTGATAACAAAGGTCATTTCAGATGAACCTAACCCAACGTCTCTAGAGTCTCGAAAAAGGTAAAAAACGCATCAATTCGTGTCACTTTTGACATTTCATTGCAGAAATTACCATGTTTTGGAAGTACAACAACAACTCATCGTCGGAACTCGACGCCCTGCTTTGCAAACAGGTAAAACAGCTAAATTGTGTGCGCGCCCCCTGAATTGTGCTTTTCCAGGACGTGACTCTAGCCGAGGTGATGGACGCCGAAGACATCATCAATCAGTGCAAGGCGCAAAGCAAGGGTTTGATCGACTTGTAAGTGGGGAATTGTGACGATTTCGGCGTTTTTTACCCCCATTTTGCAGCTTGTTGAAGCCCGAAATGATGGAGGAGCTTGTGAGTCTCATAACTCGCGAGCCCTCGAATGAATTGGACGAAAGAGTTAGGTTTAAGTACCCCAACATTGCGTGTGAATTACTTACATCGGATGTTCCTTCAATTAACGAGAGGCTGGCTAGTGACGAAGTACTGCTTGATAAGTTGTACAGTTTTTTAGAGTGTGAGCCCCCTTTAAACCCACTGTTGGCTTCCTACTTTAGTAGAATTATGGGTGCACTTATTGCAAAAAAGACTGAGCAGGTAGGTGTTAAGTGTTAATAACTAAATTTAGAATGATTCAATTTGGGTGGCAACCCTGCTTATCAAACTCAAATGTCACAATTTTATAGTCAATTGTCATTCATTTGCGACGGGTGGTCGCCGAGAAAGCCGTTGCAGTTTTCCATAACTGATTAGAAGGAAGGCCATGAATACAGTATTGCCAACACAGAATTTTTTAAAGCGTCATTCTGTTATCAAGAGTGATTTGTTAAAAACTTCAGTGATAATGAATGACTCATTCATGTGTTAAAATTAAATAGAATCACGTGAATTTCAACGTTTCAAAATACGAAAAAAGGGAAATTGAATCATTCTGCTGTTATACCGGGTGACCCAGAAATAAAAATTATTATTACCCGCCACTGGGCTGAAGTGATCACCATAGTTACATACATGTTTCTATAGCAACTACGGATTTATTTCATTTTTTTTTGTATTTTTTTGCGCGTTTCTGTTGGTAACACTGCAATTTTTCTGTTGCGATTATTTCTGGGACACTATTCGTATTTTGTTCTTAATTTGTGACTGGAATATTGAAGAATGATAGATTTTTGAGAATATAAAAGTTCTTAAAATAATTGTAGGGTTTTGTGGAAGTTTTCTAATAAAAGAAATATCGTTACTTTTTTTGCAATATTAATGAAAATTTAAGATTTGAAAATATTTACAGACAGTGATTTTTCTGAAATTTGCATTTTAATTTGTACGTATTTTTTTATTATACAAAATAGTAACAAGAATTTTCGAAGAAATAAAAGTAATTTTTATCTCAGAAACAAGAAAACCTTCAAAAAAGGCAAAAATCACATCAAGTTTGATCTAAATATGTGATTTTTTGGCCAGTTTTAGGAAAATTTTGAAAATAATTTTTTTTTGGCTCAAAAACAAACTAAAACGTTCAAATCAAAATAGGCAAACAAAATTATTATAAAATAATTTCAGTTTTTGTCTTTTTTTTGTGTGAACTTCCATAAGACTCGATAATCAAAAAATTGCAAAACTTGCATTATTTTGGAGTCAGTTAAATTTCCAATCAAAGTGGTCTGTGACTTTGCGTTTAGGTTGGCAACATTGAGTGATGTAGAGACAGTCAAAAGTGGGCTAAAAGGCTTAAAATAGGCAAGAATAACATCATTTTTTACCTTAAAACATATTTTTTTTGGCCAGTTTTATTCAAATCTTGGGAAAAACAGAACTTTTTAATTCAAAATATTCTTAAGAATCGAAGACAGACAAAAATTACGTAATTTTCGATTCCTTTTAATTTTACATTTTTTTGTGCTTAAAGTACAAAAAAAAAATTCAGTATCAAAATAATCAAAATAGACAAAAAAATAATAAAATATTTTTTTTTGTGTGAACTTCCATAAGACTCGATAATCAAAAAATTGCAAAATTGCAATTGGAGTCAGTTAAATTTCCAATCAAAGTGGTCTGTGACTGCGTTTAGGTTGGCAACATTGAGTGATGTAGAGACAGTCTGTGCATAATTCAGTGTTGCCAACTTAATTCCAAAATCACAGGCCACTTTGATCCGAATCTTTTTTAAATGATCTGTGTGTAATAATGTACGATATATAACATATTTTTTCTCCTTTTTTTCCGCGCCTTTCCCATCACGTCTTCGCTCCTTCGGTGACATCCTATTTCCGTCCACCAGAACTGGTTGTCCTATCAGTTCACTTGCTTACAGGTTCTAGATTTTTTAAAAACAAAGGACACCTTTATATCATTACTGCTCAAACATTTAGGCACTTCCGCTATCATGGATCTCATGCTCAAGCTTATGACACAGGTTGAAAGCCTCGAAATGCGACAAAATATTCTCAACGTGAGGATTAAAATTTTGAAAAATTGGGTTTAAATTCTGTTTTTTTTAGTGGTTAGACAGTCAGAGAATTATGCAATCGTTGGTTTGTCTATTAAATCCGAAAATTGACAAAGAAAGGCACTATAATGTTGCTCAATTATTGTGTGATTTTATCAAAGCAGCTCGTGATACTCAAAGAAATTCATCGGAAAGAGTTGATCCGGATCCGCTACTTAATACATTAGAATCGTAAGGATTTTCAAAAAAAAAAATTGGTTTTGTTTAGTTTTTTGTTGGGTTTTTAGAGCTGAAACAGTATCATTATTGTTAGATAATATATTTCAAGAGGAAAAGACCGAAAGTGCTATTGTTGGCGGCATTCAAGTACTTTTAGCACTTCTAGATATTTCCCAATTGAGGTAAGTCTCTATTTTGGCGTTGTTTACGCAAATATGGAAGTTGAGTATGGAAATTTTTATTTTTTATTTAATAAAATATCGCAGTTTCTGACCTGATTTGGTGATTTTTTGGTCAGTTTTATCAAAATCTTTCGAGAAAGTGAACTTTTTAATTGAAAAACATTCTAAAATGCCCAAGGAAAGAAATGATAACGTAATTTACAACTTGATTACAATTTTTTACAAGCGAAAAATCTGAGGCAAATCGAAATTTTGCGAAAATATCCTGTTTTAACGGAGTTTTGGATCAAAAACAAAAAAAAAACACATTTGGAAAGGATAAATATAAAGTCATTTTTGACCTAAGTATGTGTTTTTATAGTCAGCTTTATTGAAATCTTGCGAAATAAATGAGTTTTTCGTTCATTATTTTTATTTATTTTTTATTAAAGAAAATTATACAAAAGGGCATTTTTAGAAAAAAAATAAAATTGTTTACCTCAGAAACAAGCATCGACCTTCAAAAAAAGGCAAAAATCACATAAATTTTTATCTAAATAAGTGATTTTTTAGCTAGTTTTAGCGAAATCT